GTAGTGGTGCATGCCCTTCGTCCTAGATATAGAGAGAATTACAAAACAAAAGGAGACAACTGTCAGTCACAGTCTCATTCTGAGGTTTCCTGGAGGCAGGATCACCATTTTCAGACTGAGGTCAAGGTAAGAGCCAGTGTCTGGCTGTTTTGCTTTTCTAGTCTTCAGGTTGAACCCCAATATCTGTCTCTGAGTTTTATTAATCATGCTTAACAAGGCAAGAGTTGAAGGAACTCTGCAAGCTTCCAAGGGAGAAAAGTTATCTCCCTACCCAGCTGCAAAACTTATGAATCATAACAACAACTAACATGACAAAATATCCCCAGAGTACAGTAGTGACACATAACTTGGAGTAACCAATAGCCATCTAATTAGACTTAAGACCAACTCCAAAAGAGATACATACCTTGTACTATAAACCTAGCATGACTGGTGAAGTTATGAATCCTAAAAAAAAGTCTACTGCTATCACTTTCTTAAACCAGTATACCTTTTAACTGTATTCAAAATACTTGCACATATACCCACTGATAAAAGTAGTTCTCACCATCATCAAAGGATGCTCCTTTTTTTCAGTAGACATAGATCCTTACATAAAGCTGCTACTGGTCAAAATACAGGGAAAAACTGATCATGATATGTCCAACCCTAGATGATACATCTACAATAGAATCCCCATACCTTAGGTTCAAGGAACATTGCTGAAGAAGGAGTGAAAAGACTGTAAGAACCAGAGAATGATAATGTCTGCTGTAAGATAGTGTCTTCCCTATATGAGAAGGAAGTTGCATCCATGAAATCTCAACAATATAGTCACCAAAACAAGACATGCAAAATGACAACATCAGCTGACATATCAACACAAATGGAGGAAATATTATAAGGCCCAACTCCTAGATTAAGAATATCAGGCAATCATAACTGTTGAGAGAGGGAGAATTAGTCTTCCCCAAAGATGAACCCCCAATTGATTATCCAATTCCCAGTATTCAGTCATAAACACATATACATATAAGGAATAATAATTGGACACAGGAATATATATCATATTCTTTAATATATGTAAACATATTTAAAGAAAAAAACTTCAGTAGTTAGACAGGGAGTTGGAGACCATAGGAGAAGCTGGAGGAAGGGAAGAGTAGGGTAGAAATGAGGTAAATACCGTACTCCTACAATTGTAAAACTGGGAATCATGGTACACAAAGGAATTGATTTTAATCTATCATTTTAGAACTGGATTCTTACTTCATTGATTGACTATAAAACTGCATAGGTTTGTCCACCCAAAGACAGCTTTTATCTATGTTTTTGACCTGAGTCTATACTGTTCTTATGATTTCCTTTACCCAGCAGAGGTATTAAAAATAGGTTATGTAAAACCCAAAACTAGGCATCAAGAGGTTTGGACTAATGACCAAATTACACGTTTCTCAAAAGGAGATACTCAAATGACCAACAGTATTTGAAAACAAATTAGTCTAATTTTACTAATTAAGTATGTAAAGGATCATTAAAACTACAAGGAAATCTCTTCTAACCTTAGAAAAACTATTAAAAATGACAAATAAATGTTGGCAAGGACTTGTACAAAGGGTACTCTTGCACATGTTGGCAGTATTATAAAATAGTACAATAATTATATAAAGCTGTATAGAGGAAACAAGAAAACTATAAATAAAGTGACAGAATCATCTAGAAAACCCACCATGAATATATATATAAAGGAAAAATTATCAGTATGTAGCCTCTAGTGGTTTGATTCTGTTTCCATTTAATCTAAATAGTCTTGATGTCCATCAAGAGATGAATGAAGATAATATACACATATATATACCTAACAATATATATTAAAGAGTCACACATGCATATATGTCTGAACATATAAGTGTACATATGCATATGTGTATGTATATATGTATATACATGTATGTATTACACACATATATACACACACATATATATATTCTTCAGCCATAGACACAGAGCTGAGAAGATACTCTATTGAGTAAAATTAATCTCATGAAGACAAATAGTACATTTTGCTTCTTATTTATGGAAATGAAAATGTTGATTTTTAGAGAACAGAACTATCTTAGAGTTACTATTGATATGATAAAACACCATGACTAAAAGCAACTTGGTGAAGAAACGATTTATTTGACTTACTCTTCCACATTATAGTTCATTTCCAAAGGAAGCCAGGACACTAACTTAAGCATGGCAGCAACCTGGATGCAGGAGCTGATACAGAGGTCATAGAGAAGAGCTCTTTACTGGCTTGCTCATAATGGCTTGCAAAGTTTGCTTTCTTATAGATCCCAGAAGTGTCTCCACCAACAATGGCATGGGCCCCCTCCATCAACCATTAATTAATAAGATGCCCTATAGACTTGTCTACAGCACTACCTTATGAAGGCATTTACTTTTTAAATTTTATTTACTTATTTATTCATTCATTCATTCATTTACGTACATCCAGGCTGCAATTTCCCCTTCCTCCTCTCCTCCCAGTCCCTCCCCCAAAACCTCCCTCTGTTCCCATCCCCCAATCCACCTCTCTTCCATTTCTGTTTAGGAAAGGACAAATCTCCCATAAGTATCCACAAAACATGACGTAGCAAGTTGTAGTAAGGCTAAGCACCTCCTCGTGTATTAAAGCTGGGCAAAGTGACTCAGAATGAGGCGTAGGGTCCCAAAAGTCAGTAAAAGAGTCAGAAACAAGCTCTATTCCCACTGCTAGGAGTCCCACAAGAGGATCAAGCTACAAAACTTTAACAAATATGCAGAGTGCCTATGTCAATTCCAATGCAGCCTCCCTGGTTGTTGGTTCAGTCTCTATGAGCCTTTATGAGTCCAGGTTAGTTGATTCTGTGGGTTTTCTTATGGTGTACTTTACCCCTCTGACTCCTGTAATCCTTTCTCCTCTCTTTTTGCAGGATTCCCTGAATTCTGTCTTGTGTTTGGTTTTGGGTCTGCATCTGTTTCCATCAGTTGATGGTTGAAGCCTCTCTTACAACAACTGGGCTAGGCATAGCAGTTTTATAGTAATAGCCAGAACTTGGAAACAACCTAGATGTCCCTCAGCTGATGAATGGATAAAGAAAATGTGGTACATTTATACAATGGAGTGTTATTCAGCTGTTAAAAACAAGGACACCAGGAAACTTGAAGGCAAATTGGTGGAACTAAAAAAAGTCATCCTGAGTGAGGTAACCAAGACTGATAAAGACAAACCTGAAAGGTACTCATGCATGAGTGAGTATTATCTTTAAAATACAGGATAACTATGCTAAAATCCACAGACCCAAAGAGACTAGGTACCAAAGAGGGTTCGTGGTGGGACTCCAAGATCTCCTGGGGAAGGGGGATTTAGAAGAAATCTCAGGAGTGGACTGAAGGTGGGAAGGGATGGGAATATGAGAGAGAGCAGGTTGAGTCGGGGTACGGAGGGGGGAGTACTGAAAGAGACTACTGTAAAGGGGGTACATTTCGGTGTCAGATGAAAACCTGGTGCATCGAATCTCCCTGAAATCTTCAAGGATGACCCTATCTAAGACTCTTAGCAATAGCGATGCATAGGCCCAACTGGTCGTCTCCTGTGACCTGATTGGAGGCATTTTCTTCATTGAGTCCCCTCTCCTCACAACTTTAGCTTGGGTCAGCTTCACATAAATAGAGCCAGCACAAGCACACTGGTTACCAGAACCTTCAAAAGATCATAGAAGAAAAGAACTGGTGGATACAAATATTCATTTGGATAGAAGAAATTACTTCTCATGTTGGGATAATATTTATAATTTGGAAAAATTACCTGACAACAATTAATTGTGCATACATTTCAAAGTAATAGGTAGAGAAGGTTTTGAATAATTCCAGCATCGAAAAGTGACAAATACTTGCTGCAAAGGAGGTGACAGTTGTTCTAATTTGATTACACATGTTTAAGTATATAAGTATCATCCTGTATCCCAGAGATATTCATACTTTTGGATAAAATGGGTAATAGTGAGTTTGTGTGACTCCAATTCTCACATCTAGATGCCTATGATATGACAGGGAGCCATAGGCAGAAGAACCAATAACCTCCTATCCAATGGCCACAGACCTGAGAGCATGTCTTTCTGAGACTAGGCAAGCCTAGGCCAGTATAAATGAGTGACCCCCACAAGTTAAGCCAAGCCCAAATTATTTAACCCCAGAACCATGGTATAAGTTGAATGTTCTCGTACAAAGGCACTATGGGTTTGTTGCTGTTGCTTTTGCAAAGTGGTAGGTGTCCTGGACATCCTCTGGCTCTGTGGACGCGAGCATAGAAATCCAGCTGCTGTGAGACTTGGTTTTCTCGTCAGTAATGTGGGTAAAGGGGCTTCAGCCATTTTGAATGGGTAGCAATGGTCTGTGATCCATCGCTTTATTTACTTAACTGCTTAACTTTGTAATCATTCAGTAACCCCGGAGTGTAACTTGTCACAAAGATTCATGGACATTTTGCATTTAAAATGCTAAATTCAGATTACATTCTCAAAATAATGACAGCAATTATATTTTAGTTATGATTAAAAACAGTGTCTGGTTTTTAAAGATCTGGCCATGAGTTTTATACTGTGTGTTTGGGGGAGATGACTCCAGCAAATACTACAAATAGAATTCATTTTTACCAGAACAACACAGTCAAGCCTCACTTCCTACAACTCAAAACACAGTGAAAAGACCAACAGAGAAGGGAATTGCAAAAGAATATGAAGGTGGACAAATAAATTAGCTCTTAGTCAATACATATTTTACTCTCAGATGAACTAATAGTTGGAATTTTCCATGGTCAGGAAAATAATGAAAATTCTTCATTAATCCCAAATGTCTTATCTTCTGACCCCACACACAAATACGTTTGGACACACACACACACACACACACACACACACACACACACAAACACACACACACACAGAGAGAGAGAGAGAGAGAGAGAGGAGAGAGAGAGTTTGAAGTGTACTCACCCTCTCTGAAAGAGATCCACATTATAGAATTTATGTAGCTCTACAGAAAACTCAACTGTTCCTTGTACTTCAGACATGATCTTTTAGGTTCATTACCTGAAAAACAAAGAAATAAATTAATTGCTTAAAATTACTTCAGCCAAACATAGCCTGGTATCAATACTAGGAACTTAGTAATGCTTAGATGGACAAGAACATGTGGCTGACAGGATCAGTAGAGCACCGTGTGTCTTCTTCATGGTGTGTTCAAAGGTTTTTCTAATAGGGAAAAAAAGCAGAAACACGCAATACCTTTTGAGTACCATGCGGTTAGCACCTGTTATGGCTGGAACTGAGTCCTGGTTCAGGCCCTTTCATCTGCCCATGACATGGAAGCCACATACCCTCAGTTACCACCAGGAGGTCACCTGCTTTCTCACATAAAACCTTAGGTGACTCTGTGCTCTTTCAACAGTGGGTGTGGACGGCTAACTGCATCAGGGTTGGATAACTGAGGAGAGGATGAAGTGAGAATGCCCCGCTAATCATTTTGCACACACCCTGGCATGTAGCAAACTCTCAATAAACACTAGCCAGCACTGATAATGTGTACCGATCACTGAATACCACTCTATCACCAGTACTGAAGATATTGAGGATGCAGGTGACCGAGGCGGCAGCAGAATGCGTGGGTGCTGTGACAGGCAACAGCTAACCTAATTTGACAGATTGATGCAAAAGCTGATAAGAATGTTGGGCAAGACACCTGGAATAAAATTAAATTACAACTGTCCACATCTGATACTGGAAACAAACCAAGAAGCGGCCCCCAGGCAGACTGAATTTTTGAGTATGTAAGACCAACTAGATGTGAGATATTTGAAAGGGAAAAAAAAGTAAATCAGTAGAACACCTGTTACATTCTTAGTGTTGCATACATTATTTTACATACTATCTGGCTTTGACCACAATGACTTTATATGATAAAGACTCATGTTATTTTTTAAGATAAAGAAAAAAGATGAAGGAAATTCTTTCTTGCAACTCAAAACCAAAATCTTGTATCATTTGGCAAGTCTCCTCATTATTCAAAGGCTCAGTTTGCCAAAATGTGTCATGGAGACAATGTACCTGTGGCCCTGCTGTTATTGGTATCAGGTATGACCTATGGGAGAAAGAGCTATAGAGAGAGACAGAGAGATAGAAGGGGGGGGGTGGTTGGAGCGAACAGAAGATAAAAGCAGAGGACACATAGTTTTTCATGGCTGGCACAGGTGATGGACTTGTGGGTCTTCTATGAAGGCCTCACTCTCTTTCTCTCCTTTCTCACTCTCTTTCTCTCTTTCTCTCCCTGGCTCAGAGCCCAACTGCCCAGAGTCTTGCTAGGCCAGCTCCCAAAGACCACTCAGGATTAAGTAAACTGTCACGCTTTGTCTCTGTACTGGCAAGGGCTTCCTCCCAGGAAACATTTCTGAAAATGCAGAAGACTGTACCAAATGAGAATGCTGCATATCCTTGTAACCAATCTATATTAACCCAGAAAGAATTTTCAGACAAAAAAAAAATCATGAAACTCCTAACCTACACTTTGTGCTGGGCAGTACAGAGTAAATTAGGGTCCTGTCCAATATAATAGAACCAGCTGAGGGGGGGTGTCAGAAGCCACCCTCTTAACACCAATCTCAAGACGCGTCCAGGAAAGGCCAGATAGCTCTCTCTGTGACTCACTTATCACACTGAAAGCAGCACTGCAAGCTCCCTGTTCCCTTATTATCTCGCAGGCTCAATGATCACAAACCTACAGTTCTGGCTCAGCCATCTGATCATTTGATTGTGGATGCCAGGCTCTAATTAGCCTGTGGTCTCTGTGATCCCTGGGGCTGGATAAGTAGAGGCTAGGGAGTGGGCAGAGAAGGAAAGGGAGAGGGAGAGAGAACGGCAATGCCAATTGGTACATGTTAAATGAGGCAAAAGAGTTTACACATTCGGCTTCACACAAACGCTGCTACGATTCTGGAGTCAGTGATGACCCAGGATCCCAAAGACAGTGCCTTTCAAGCTCCAGAGCTTATATGCAGGTTTCCTGGGTGAATGAAACCCTATGAAATAAATATTTAGAAGAAAAATGTATTTAATAGATGGAGAATGTGATGCTGTCATTTTCTCCATGGAAAATGCAAGTTACCATCCTATGATTTAAAAAAATCTTAATAAAGTCAGAGTTCTGGAAATTGTAATCACAAGCATGGGGGCCATTCTTTTGTTAATGCCATATGATAAACTATAACTAACACGTGGCACTAAATGAAGATGCTAAGCACAAATTTTAAAAAACCCATTTTAAAGGTTCACTTCAGGTTTTTTTTTTAGGAAATTAAATGCACAATATGGAAATCATGCTCAACAATTCAAAATTATCTACCTTGGTCCCAACTTTCTCCCCAGATCTCATTGAAAATTAATGAGTATTTTAAACTGCTGGCTTTTCAGCTTGATCCTCAAACTCACAACTTCAGTGATGAGAGCAACTTTGAGTCCTAACCTAGATCTGCTGAGTGAGGATTCATTCAAAGGTTCTTCCATCCTCTAGAAATTCTGACATATACACTCATTTGAAAACGACTGCCTCGGATGCTAAGGTTGGAGCTGACTAGACCTGAGTTAAGCTGGTCCACTATGAGTCACGTAATATTGAATGATGACTGAACTTCCTCTTCCCTGGTTTCCACAAGATTTATTCAGATTATTGAGACCACTTGCCATGTAAGGCATCCTTTGTGGCTGGTAGAATGTTAGAGGTTTAATCCAGTATTGTGTGCACTGTAAACTATACACATGACACACACTTGGCAGCTACAAGACACATGTCCAACACAACCCACTTCACCTACACCCAGTATTCACCAATCACACAATGTATGCAAACATTGACATACGTACACATGACACAATGTCCATGAAACTTACAAGGTGCCCACAAACAGTGTACACACTACTTACCAAACACCCACAATACTCACACTATACATACACATAAAAGACACCCATAACAAAACACCCATATACATATACTCACCTTGTACACATCACAGATTCTCTGTGATTCCTGCTGCAACCAGTGCCTCCCATGACTCATGGCTGCAAACATCCTTTTGTATTTGATTCCAGCATGCTCGTTTCTACAACTCCATTTCCTGGAAGCTACATCCTCACATACTAGGATTACAGAGCTTAAAGGAAAATGTTCCCTCAAAATACAGACTGAGAAAGGGTGATCTAGTGACCATTGTACTTTAAGTCTGGGAGCTCAAGGAGAGGGAGGGCAAATTCAAAGGAGGCCCAGAATTTTCCTAAGGAACTAACATTTGAGTTAGGGAGCCTTGGTCAAGCATTTGTTCAGAGTAATCAATGGCAATCTCTCTTTAAAAGGAGCCAAGGATCATTAGGTCTTTGCCATCTGAGATCACTTGAAGTCAGCACGTTCATCCTTGGCACACACTTTCACAATATGTGAGGTCTCATGCATGCCCTGTTTTACCTACTGCCTGGTCCTGGCTTGGATAGTATTGAAAGTCTTCACCTGCATGGGTCAGTGTGGCCTTACACAGGAGAGTAAAAGGAGAGTGAAGAGCCTGGGGATGTAAGAGAGAGCTGCAGAGAGGTTTCATTGTTCAGGAAGAGGGCAGAAGAATACCTAGTCTCTCCAGTGCAAATCTCTCCTTGACATTTTGTCCCTGCCCATCCTATAAAAGAACCATCTAGAAACCTAAAGTTAAAAATACAGGTTTTTGAGTGAAACAGTCAGACTTCCTCAACACCAGAAAAGACGGAGTAACATGCTTGGTAAGGTTTGTAGTCTCTGAATCTGCTTCTGAAGAGAATTGGGTAAAGAAGAAAACCAGGAGCTAAAAGAGGAGCTAGAGATAAGATGAAGGCATCGATTTCCTATTTGTACAACCAAAGAAAGACAAGAAAGTGTCTGCAAAATATTAAGACTTTCTCTTTACAGGCTCAAGCTCCTTCCTTTAGAGTTCTGTAGACCGTCTAGATTTGTGTACTGTTGTGTAAAAGGCGGCACCTGGATCTCCGTGATTGAGTGAACATGGGAGGCATGTAAATGTGCATGCATGAGCATGTGTGTGTGTGTGTGTGTGTGTGTGTGTGTGTGTAGTGTGTATGTGTGAGTGTGTGTGTCTGTCTATCTGTCTCAGGTTTGCATATAAGTAACCCAGGATTTATATACCTATTTTACCATTTGATTCAACTTGTAAGCCTCAGTCTTCTTCTCCGTATAAACAATCTACCTTATAGGAAGGAGAAGGTTGACAAAGTATGCTCATCTTAGACTCCTCAAAACACAAAGTTTAAGCCACCAGGATAAGTATATATCTGATGAGTCCTTCATCTGAGCTTTCTTTTGATATAAGTCTTCAGATTTCATTGATCCCCTTTGTGCCTGTAATTTCCTTCTAGTTTTCTGTCATCACTATCCAGAAGGGTATAGTCAAAGATGTTGAAAACTGAGCAACATGGGGAGGGAGTAGAAGAATGAGTTCACTTTCTTTCACAACTGGCCAGCAGCTCTGACCTTGAGAGATAGGGCCAGGAGAATATTCTACCCTTGGATCAGCGGTATCTGAAGGATTCCTAAATTATGTAAGTTTGCCACTGCCTACCTAGCTATCTTGGGATCAACTAGACATTGATCTTTTATCTATCAAGCATGGTTTTCACTTGTCACCACATTCAGTTCCTCGAATCCAACCCCTTCTCTCATCTCCAGAGTGCTGCATTGGGAATGTGGTCACCTTCCTCTTCCATGCATTAGCCATGTCTCCTGGGTACCCGCACCTGCTCCAGCCCATGCTCCTGTTAGAAAACACTTATACTGTCACTACAGTAGTGGGCTTTCTAGAACATAAATCAGTTTCTAGAACCATGCAATTGTTTCTCCTTGCCCTCAGTGTAACACAAGAGATATTTTATAGCTTTGAATTTCTTATTCTTAAGATGGTGATTTCTACCCTCACTCCCGTGTTGAGTCTGAACTTTAATCTCCCTTCCTCAGCTCTATAATGTGAGGTCTTCTGGGGATCCCATCTTTGTTCTGGGAAAGA